CCGTGCCACTGGGGAGCGCGAAACAGGCTGGTGTAAACGCGGCGTGTCGCTGGTGAGCGGGATGATTGGTGGTATCAAGAGAGTCCCAAAAGAGTGACCCGTAAGAGCTTCCTACAAGAGTGACCCGGAAGAGTGTCCTACAAGAGTGTCCTGCAAGAGTGTCCTAACATCTCTGTGCACCTCTCTGACCACCTCTCTGGGCAAGTCTACAAAGTCGTGGCCTCGGAAACTTAGCTCGGCGAGGCGTCGAAGCAGGGTAACCCGCAGCAGTACGCTTACATGCCGAATGGAGACGCTCATACGGGCAAGGGGCCATTCTCGAGGCAGCATGGCATATAGATTGTGAGTAGGAGGCCCCGGACGCGCGCCGGTGCAGTTCCGCGCCGATTCTTGCGGTCCCCGTCTTAGGAGGTCAAAGACTCAAGAAAGTGCACAAAGACATCAGGATGCTTGATTGATCAAACGACCCTGCTGCCTGCTTTTTCAGACCTTGGCTCCACATCTGGTCTGCACATCTCTTCCAGTCCTACAAGAGTGACCCACAAGAGTGTCCTGCAAGAGTGTCCTACACAAGTGTCTCACAAGAGAGTCCAGAAGAGTGTCCTACAAGAGTGTCTCGCAAGAGTGTCACACAAGAGTGTCCCACAAGACTGTCCCATAAGAGTGTCCCACGAGAGTTTCCTACACGAGTGACCCACAAGAGTATCCTAAAAGAGTGTCCTACAAGAGTGTCTCGCAAGAGTGTCCCACAAGAGTGTCCGACAAGAGTGTCCCACAAGAGTGACCCACAAGAGTGTCCTACAAGACTGTCCCATAAGAGTGTCCCGTAAAAGTGTCCACACAAGAGTGGCCTACAAGAGTGTCCCACAGGAGTGTCCCACAAGAGTGTCCCGTAAGAGTGTCCCACAAGAGTGTCCCGTAAGAGTGTCCCGCAAGAGTTTCCTACACGAGTGACCCACAAGAGTGTCCTAAAAGAGTGCCCAGTGCCCCGCCATTGTTTACTACAAGAATGACCCACAAAAGTGTCCCACAAGAGTGTCCCACAAGAGTTTCCTAGAAGAGTGTCCACAAGAGTGTCCTACAAGAGTGTCATTTGGACATATGTAGCTTTTCGATCGTGTTTGCATTCGGGTTCGTGGGCTCCATCTTGTTTCCTTTGTACTCATACATTTCGAGCTTTCAGAAAGCGAAAACTTGACAATTTCCAATTCCAGTGTTGCTTCTTTAAAAGTAGGCAGCAGCAGTGCTCGGTGTGGGGGTGTGCAGACTAGATTTGCAATTGGGCCTCTTAGACTCTTAGAGAGCAATCAATGGTTGTGGGTACAGTGAGCACGTCCGAGTCCAAAGTCACCCAAGTTCAAATGCTGCATACAGTGGATTGTTTGGAGTCTCTCCAAGGCCCAGCAAGCTGTCACACCGAGCGCACAAGCCTTAAGTTCGGGTGATCTAACTGCGGTCTTCCACACCATGTCTTGAGACGCAGGCGTTTTGGCACTGCGTGTGGACAAGCCGTGGTGCATCCAAGCAAGAAACGAACATGTTCAGATATGTTCAGCATAAAGCACACGTGGCATTTTTTTAGACATTTGCAAGCAACAGTGTTGAGTGTGTATATGAGGAGTTATGGTCTTCTCTTGGGAGGATATTGAGAAAACCATAAATCCTTCACAAGACCTCTATATTCTTGTGACAAAGTACTGCTGGGCCAAATCGCAGTTGAAAGTTTGGTTTGTTTGCTAGAGTTTGAGGACCAATCTTGAGGATTTTCCAAACCTGGAGCCCACTGCACAACGAGGTCCAGCGAGGAGTAATGACACCGAGTGCGCCAACCCCCAGCGGATCCATTGTGGCGCAGCCTGTAGCTGCACAGCCACCGGCAGATGCACAGGCGCTTCGAACTCGATGACGAATGGTCAGTCAGGGACATTTGCAAGCTAGGTTGACAACCACTACTTAGTGATTGCAAGTATATATTGCATAATATGTATATATATATATATATCATGTAGCCAGAAACACAGTGAATTTGCAGGCCTACAAAAGACACTTATATATAGAACTGCACCACACTGGCCGCCCGTTTATGACTTTTGCTGCTTGCGGATTGAGCTGTTTGGCCATGGGCATTATATACCGTATAAATGTTGTATGGCTTTAGCATATGTGGTGCACATGTGTATGGATCATGCTTGATCAGCGGGTTTAATTGACGTTTCTTGTCTCCGATGGTGCATATATGTGCATATTATGGACATAATCTGTGCACGAATTGAACAGCAAGGTGTACGACAATCATGCGCTTCACTTGCGCACTCGACAGAAATCAATGCGCGGTACGTATTTAATATGCTTGAGCAAGAAGATGTTAGATTTGATTAGTTCTTTGCCTTTGCTTGATTGTTGGAGGGTGCTTCGCAGGCCCGAACTGGGAATTCTGCACAGAGCAGGTTGCTGCAGAACAAGCCTGAGCCTGATTGTCTACAAAACACAAGTATTGGTACGCTCAGCAGAGGACAGTCATCTTCTCGTCAGTTGTAAAGCACTTCCAGCTGCCAATCCATGATTTTCTGTTGCGAAAAGCTATGTTTGTTTGGAATCCAAGGAACTCAAACCATGATCAGATTAAGACCCGCTTGTGCTTTATGCAAACAGAATCGCTACTAGCGGATTTCATTTATATAAAGCACAAATCACACGCGAATGGTGAAGGCCGGTGTCCTGCCGTCCTTGGAACAACTGATCCAATGGGTGACTATGTGCATATGCAAGCATTTGTGGAACACCATGGAAAACCCAACCTCAGAAGAGACCAGAATCGCAAGACGTCTTATTTTTTCTTGCTATGCCGTCCTACTTGAAATGAAGAGTTTCTATCAGGAAGGACACCAAGATCGCAGTCTATTGTTTGGAAGGTTCCAAGTTATTGCATGAGGACTCAAGGAACCATGAACTGATAAAAGAACTTGCCAGCTTGATGTTCAATGTGAATACTCAATCTGTCCACAGCATCATACCTTCACTTGCCATGTTTGCAAGTATTCTTTGCATTGAATGTATTTCTTTAAACAAATTGCTTGTGCTGTACCGGCAAAGCAGGATTCCTGAACATAACACCAAATTAAATGCTTGATGGCAACTTGCAGCTGTGGAGCTTCGCACTATTGTCACCTTGCCTTACAATTTGAGCGCAAGTTCTCAGGTAGCTTTGCAAGCTTCCACAAGAACTTTTGAAGGTCCTGATCCAAAGCTGAATGTCAGCTGAATGTAGTTGTTTGACAGCTGTTGATTCAAGATCACCAACGTTTTAGACGAGCCAGGCTGTTGCCGTTAAAGCAACTCTTCGAACAGCCGTACATAGAATGGATTTTGGGTCGTTTGTCATTTTGGAGTGATAGTCAGTGATAGCCCTACAGTCCAGTATGGGACATGCAAAGACCGGATTGGCAGCACTAACAACAAGCTACTAGTAACAAGGCACCGTGACGTTTCGAGACTCAGACTCCTCTCTCTGGAGCTTCCTAGTGGCTTTACACTTGGTCTTGCCACTGCCCTCTGCCAAATGCAGAGTACATGAGACTACCCCTTTTGCGGGTGCGACAGGGCACAGAGGAAAATCGCAGAGGCTTTGAAGTTATGGTGAACGTGCTCAATGCTTCAAAAAACCACAATATATTTATAGACTAACAATGACTAACATTTATAGACAATATCGTATACAACACAATATATATATATTACATATAGACAAATATATATATATATATATTTGTATGTTTTTTGTAGGAAGGGTAGGCCGGCCCCCGGGTAGGCCGTGAGGTGAGCCAACAAGTAGCTAGTAGTATGGACGCAGGAAAGCTTCCTTGGCTGCGGGCTTCCTGGGAGCTTCCAAAGAAGAAGCCCTCGCATCCTCTCAGAAATAATTTTGGTTCTTTGATTTTTGGCGAAACTTGCACATGGGAGGCAGAGTCCAGAAAATCATGTTGGTTGATATTGCCTTCCAGTGCTGGAAGCCTTGACGTTTACAGCAATGCAATCGCTTCACTTGATGACATGAAAGAGTTTCTCAGAGGTCTTACCAGGTCCGCATTGAATCAATTGAGCTGAAATCAAGATTCAACCACTTATCACGCGCGATGCCTCCAGGCATTCTGTGGGCTCAACAGGAGCCTCATCAATGGACGGATCAAGACCGCAAGCGCACTCAAAGCATTGCATTTTAGCATTCCCTCGCCCCCCGAACAGTTGATTTGCACTTTAGAGAGCACAGCAAAAGACATCAAAGACAAGGCAGAAGCTGAGTGTGACTTGTTCCCATGTGTTTCTTGCATTTCCTTGCTGTACCAGTTGCTTCTCCTGTTGTCCGCAGCCATGCCGACGGCGTGCCTTGGTGTTTTCAATCATGACTCCGTTTCAGCTTGCACCTAGCTGGGACACATGAACCGAAAGTAGTCCCAGCACAGAATAAACATTGCAAGCACATAAGACTTAAGACCGTTTGCTGGTTTGCCTTTTTGGTTGGACAGACGTTTCCCGAATCAAACAGAACAGTTAGAAGTGACATGCGAAGGCTTTGCCTCATAGTGAAGGATCGGTCTTTGATGCATTTTTGGAGTTCTAGATCACGATGAGCTGGCAGATGCTGTCAGAAATTGTTTGCCTTGCTTGCAGCCTAGCCAGGCTAACTTCTGTCACTGGATGATTGAATCATGCATGGATTCTTCCCTTGGCCCCGCTGGAGTTCATCAGGAAGCCGACCAACATTGATGCCCAGCGCATCCTTGCGATAATGGACTCGACCGCGGGTGTTTGAATGTTGCACAACTGAAGGCTTTTGTAGGATATATACTGTAATTACTGTAAGAGTAAGTTTTCCACTTTGCTTGACCCGCTTCCAGGCACGTTTCCAACCTATTCCATTGCTGCAGAATAAGACCTGGCCTTGGTGATTTGTTTTGCAAGCTAACCAACCACGCAATGTGTGCCAGAGCAAACATGCAGGCACACAATGGGAAGTTATCCTTTCATGCTGGTCTAGGTACCGATGTGTTGGTTTGGTTTGAGCAACTCATGTGGCAGCTTAGGACCATAGGCCCATAGGCCAAGATCGTAGCGCAAGGGCGAGCATTTCTGCTCAGTGGAGTGGAAAAATTACAAAAGGTGAATATATATATATATACATACACCTTTCTTCCTTGTGATTCTTTCTATTTTTTTCTAGTAGCGATGGTCTCCACCCGAATAGCGTCTAATTTCTGCCCACGGCAACACTTGGACACATTGGCCAGGACGAACTGAAGGAGAAGCTAACGTTCCTCTCCTTTGTATCACCCCAGGCTTGACAGAACGCACAGTGGCCATTGTTGCTTAATATTTATGAACATTGTTTGAAAGAATGTGTTCGTTTGACAGGTGCATCATTCAGAATCCAAGCTGATCCTTCCAGATCCACGCTGGCTTATTTTGCAAGTCAAAGAGGGATTCACTGGATTCTAGAGATGGGCACCTGATGTTTGTAATGCCCAGTTTGATTGCACATATAATGGGTCACGGCCGTCGTGGCTTCCACTTGCTTCGCAGCTCAGTTCCTTGTTTCTTATCAGACTCCAATCTTTGAAGGTTTTAGCAGGGCTTCAAGGTGAAGACGGCTCTGCTACAGTTGAGATCTTAGGGTTTGGTGCCCCAGGAAACGGAAGACACTGAAACGCTTAAGACAAGCAAAACAGATCACCAGAAGCGTATTTGGATGTGCTTGTGCATCCAAAATCGCAATGCCAAAACCTTACCACCATTGTTTATGCCCGCTTTGAGCAGCACCGCTTGAAGCACAAAGAGAGGGGTCCAGAACTGTCACCCATGACACAAAGGAACATGACATTCTAACCCTTTGCACCAAACACGAAACAATTTTTGCATCCTGAGGCCAGAACTCATGAAGTGCTTTGCAGAGCAGCTGAGGCTCAAAGATGGCCTTTCCAAATTAAACTTGCTCGGGAACTTGATTGTCCTTTCCTTGAATGCTAATGACTGGTGGTGGAGCATCATTGTTGCTCACTTTTGTTGAGTCATCCAAGGACGTGAGACCAAAACTCATGGGCCCCCGCAGTGATAGTGCGATTGATGTTCTCGGCCCGATAGCCGTTCTCTTTCAAGGGGGGACGGTGAGCAAGACTCCCCTGGCAGAGGCGAGGCACAGGCCGGTCTCAGTTGAGGCCAGTCTGGCAAGTCCTCCCTCTGCCAGGAGGAGTCATGACAAGTGATGCTGCAGAACCGTGGAGACGCACAGGACGGAAAGCTGCAGCAGAACACCTCGTGGGGGTGGAGAAGGACACTCTCATGGAGGTGGCGTTGTACCACAATGATGGAAGCAGACAGGGACAGGGCATCATCCAGCTGCTCAATGCGGGAGAAGAATGCCCAGACGAGAAGGGAAAGGTTCACACTGCCCACTTCTTGGCAATAGAAGGTGGATACAGTACTATGAATGGTGGCTGAAGGATGAGTTTGGGACACGACCAGTCCCAGTGCATTTTTGTGAAGTGCCGGCCTCATGGTGCACAGCAGGCACAATGTACCGGAACCCCATCCATGTGGACGTGTTTCGGGTTCTACCAGGCCGCTCAGCGACGAAAGTGACCTGGCTCAAGGATGACTCAAAAAAAAGTAGTGAATGAGGCACTAGACGCCCTCAAGTCTTCCACCTCACCGGATGTCACCCCAGGAGCTCCTGGGGTGGGCAGTAAGGGAGGTGGGGGGCCCAACGTTGATGCCGTGCAGTCAGGCGAAGCCGGTATTGCAGGGCTTGCTCGAGCTCTCGGGCAAAAGGAGGAGGTTGCGCGAGAAACTGGAGAGAAGGGAGTTGAACAAGCAAAGAAAAAGCAAAAGACAGAATCAGGTGAGGGTGACAAGACAAAGGTGTTTGGAAGATGTGTTGAAAAAGAGAAAGGTAGGCGATGGAGGTCACAATGTGCTCCGCCTGGGGCGCGATGCAAGCGGGGGAAGTAAGAAAAAGAAGAAGAAAAAGAAGAGCAAGAAAGAAGAGAAGAAAGAGAAGGAGTCTTCTGGCAGTGATAGTGAAACATCATCGTCAAGCTCGCTTTTTCACTTGGCTGCCCTCCCGAAAGGAGTGGATCGACTGCACCGGCTACACGAAGAGCGTCCCGGAGCGATCGCAAATGCCACTCTTCGCCGGTTCAACGTCCTCTTGAACCAGAGTGTGGGGAGGGGAGCAGCCGAGGTGACAGAGGACCTTCCCCCAGTGGCAAGAGGGTACATGAGCCAGATCTCCCCTGAGCAAGCATCCAGAGGGGACGCTTGGAATGCGGAACCTCCGCAAGATGCGCGCCCCGACGACAGTCCTCGACCTTCTGGCAAGCAATCAGACCCTCCAGGCAATGGACATCCTGGCTCAAAGGATCAAGAGCGTGGAACTCTTTGTGAGTCAAGGACACTGGGCACAGGGGAGCCTTTTGGAGCTGGTAGCAGCGGAAGGCGAACAGCGGGCCTACTCCCGGGAGGAGATCAAGGTGGCCCAAGCCGAACAGAAAGTGGAGTTGCAGATGCAGAAGGCGCAGTGGCAACGCCCCTGTGGCAAAAGGACTACCGGACTCCACAGAACCCAGTGGGAGAGAAAGGAGAAGAAGGAGAAAAAGGAGATCGAGCACCAGCCAACCCCGGGGGGCAGGAGAAAGGCAAGAAGGGAAAAGGAAAAGGAAAGAAAGGAAAGAGAAAGCGGTAAACGAGGAGGACACGGACGACCCTATGGACTTCCCTGACCTCAAAAAAGCCCTTCTAGAAGATACTACAGATGAGAGCCACAGGCGCCGTACGGAGAAGCTGATGAAGTACAGGCCATTGAAAGCGATATTCAAGGAGTTTGAGTCTTGCTTAGGAAAGAGCCCGCATTGGAGAGATCATGAGTTCTGGTTTTGCAACAGCTTGATAGATTGGCTGGAGTACTCGAAGGATACCTCAGTGCGTAAGCTGCAACACAAACTGAAGTTCTTTGAGCAGGAGATGGATCCTCGTGAAAACCCTCGGGCAGCACAGGTCCTGGAATGGGAGCCTGTCTTTCCTGAGCGCAGTCTTGGGGAAGGCAAACCTCCTCTGCTGGGTGTCTGTGAAGGTGTGAACTTGTATGAGCTTCAGCCCACGTGGAAATGGACCTTTGGGACCCTTTTTGGAGACGGTGACCGAGTTCATGGAG